TTCCTGAGATGGTAAGCAATTTGATATAAGTTATACGTGTGCAGTTCTACAAAAAATATATCCATATTAGAAATAATGTAAAAGTAAAAATAGACCAAAAAAATCTAACCTTAGTCATATAATGAATTTTGAAACAGCACAAGACACAAGCAGTCAAAAGAATAGATTTAACTTCAGCTTGAGTCATTCCAATTTAGCTAGATGACTCTGTACTAAAAGAACTGCCAATATGCTGCAGTTTGGGGTGCTGGGAACTCCAAAATGCAAGCGTCCAGGGTGGGTCTGCCTCCAAAGAATTCGAGCACTCAAGCCTTCTTTCAGTCCATATAGCAAGTTCATTATGGCACTGGTTGGGTGGGTGAGATTCCTAGTAAGTCAGCTCAATTTAATGGGGGTAAGATTGGTACTTTTATACAGAAAAAGACTGTGAGAAGATTTGGATGGGATTAAGGAGTGTCAAGTAAGTTAATTAAGTAATCAAGTTGGGCTGGGGTGGGCCAGATGCCTTGGGTGGAGGTACCAGTGATCTGGACTACTGAAATGTATGGTGAAATTCAGGGGCTGGGTTGCTTTCAAGGACATGGTCTTTTACTTTTTAGGAATTTAGATATCATCCTCATCACTGTCTAGAAACAAAGGGCTGGGGTGGGGAGAAGTGAATTCTGAAGAATTCTCTGTGGGAGGATAATATGAAGAGGTCTCTGATTGATTGATCATAATAAATGATTAATACATAATCACAATGTTGAGGTTTAGGGGTGCTGGGATCCCAAAATAGTGACGAAATCCTGCCTCAAGAGAATTCAACCCAAGCCCTCTTTCAATTAAAGACAAGGTTTATTAGAACACCAATCAAGGTGGATGTGATTTTAAGAACCTGTGCTATTGGCCAGACTTTAAGAATCTGAGCCATTTAATGGGGGGCAAAATGGACCTTATATACAGAAAGACTGTGGGAAGGTTCTAGGAGTGGCCAATAGGCTGGGGTGACTGGGAGGTAACAGAGAATGACCTGGAAGGGCTGGGTTCCCAAGGTGAAAGCAGAAGTGGTCTAGATGGAATTAAGGAATGGGGATCTAGGGTGGGGCCAGGTGCAGACAATAAGGGCCCCAATGAAAGGCCAGTTGAAAGGATTATAACCTCAGGAGAACTCTGGAGACCTGGCCACGTGAGAAAGTTCAAGGAAGTTGGCCCCCCTCCCCAGCATAGTTTCCAGGGCTTATACCCAGTCAACAATAGCAAGTTAAAATCAGACTACATTATTGTGAAGCAAGGGGGAAATTAGCCACATTTGGAGTAATGTCAATGAGTCTGATGATTAAAATTGTCAGTTTGCGTAAAAGGTTATAGAAGTTTCCACACATGTTTTCCTGAGTATTCCATCTCATATGTGAGTCCCCTGGAAAAGTTACCCCAGTTTTGAGGTACTATGTTGGTCATTTGGCAAGGGAGTGCCGGCCAGAAAGGGTGTGGCTCCCTCTCATGTAGTGTCAGGGAAGTTTCCATTATATAGGATCCAGACAAACTTATCCCTAGGCACACAAACATAGAGACACCTCTTACACAATTAAGCAATTTCGCAGAGGGAAGTTCCTAGGTCAAATCCATAAATATGCAAACTAAGGCCTATTGAGAAAACATAAACATTCACATTTGGGGACTTGAACCTTTGAGTGGACCCAAAAAACAAGACCTGGGTGAGATCTAAGTATTCCAGAAGCCATGTACCTTCCACTGGAGTTTCTCTGTTCTGACCTCCACTATAAACTTTTGGGTTAAATCATTTCTAGTCTTACAAAACTAGATTTAAACAGTGCAACAATTGAAAAACATTCTGAATTATATAATAAAGCATCTTCCACACTCACAAGCCTTCATAAACGTTTACCTTCATAAACCAGTCAGAAGATACATGTGTTCAAATAAAAGGCATTTATTTAATTAAATAGGATAGCAAATAAAATTAAAAGAAAATATATCTCCCCCCCATGCATGCATAAAGAATACTTCTCTCACATGTAACCACACCATCGTTGAGGAGGGCACACACAGAGAAAACACATGTAATTGATGACCACTCATGGAGGGTACGTGTACAGGGAACTCATGGGGCCAGAGCATCAACCTCCAAAGCTACAGAGTTGTCAGTTTCCACTGGTGATGTCATCATTTTGTTGTTCAGTCTTGTCCAACTCTTCATGATTCCATTTGGGGTTTTCTTGGTAAAGATACTGGAGTGGCTTGCCATTTCCTTCTCCAACTCATTTTATAGATGAGGAAACTGAGGCAAATAGAGTTAAGTGACTTGTGCAGGGTATTAAGTATCTGAGGCCAGATTTGAATTCAGGAAGATGAATCTTCCTGCTCCATCCACTACACCATTTAGCTGTCCTGATGGCATACTGCTCTCAATCAAGCATGTCACTCTGCTATTCTCATGGTTGCATCTGGCTGTTGTTTCCTGACAACAGTGTCTGAACTTCCCTTCAGAGTCACTTACTGAAATATTCAGTCTACTGGAATGCTGAGTCTAAATAGCTTCTCCTGATAAGGAAAAGGTTATGACCCTTTGATCTTAGTCAGAGGTCATAAACTAACATAATCAATTAAACTGTAGCTAAAAAAAAAAAAAGCAAGGCAGAATGACCCAAGGGTAAGATTATGGGATTTTTTTTTTTTGGTTATTTGTTTTAACTCCTGGTGTCAATGGCTGAACCACAGTTGTATCTTCTCTCACATGTGGATCCCTAGAAAAGGTATCATAAGATTAAGGCCTTCTGATCAGTGCTCTAAACCAAAACTCTAGAATCCTAAATAATGGGTATTAAATCTCTGCTTTCTTCTAGGTGCATCATATTTGTTCAGTGTCTCTCTGCTATTTTTATAGCCATTGATTCTCTCTCTGGACTTCACTTCAGAGTTATCTGCTGATCATTTCATTTCCTCTGTTTTAGGGTAAAGTGAAGAGACTGGTAGTTCTTTTAGTACATAGTAACCTAGCTAAATTGAAATGACTCAAGCTAAAGCTAAATCTATTCTTTTGACTGCTTGTGTCTTGCGCTGATTCAAAATTCATTGTCCCCAGAAATTATATGACTAAGGTTAGAAATTACCATAGCTTTTGTTTAACTCCCTTGTAGTTAGGACAAGAAGAAAACTCTGCCAAAAACAAAAATTAAAAGCACAAGAATTATGACAACATTGGGCCATGAAGCCCTTTTATTCAGCAAATTCTCACAACTGAAATGAAGATGAAGAGGCACACCTATTCTCTGCCTTTGTAACCCACCATTATTATTATTATTAATTTATTATTTATATCTGCTGAAAGAAAAGGAAAAAAAATGGCTTAGGTACTCTATTTTGGCCATCAGACTCACTGCACATAGAAAAGTCAAGAAAGACTCAATGATTGGTAACCAAATTCTACATAAACTGAAGCATTTCTGGATGTTGGGTTAAAATAAACAAGAAAGAGAAATCAAGCTAATGCAAGACCAGATACAACACCAAGAGAAAAAAAAAAAAAACAAATAAAACATTGAGGAAGGAAAAATACTCCTTTATTTATTTTTTGAGGAGGCAACTGGGGTTAAGTAACTTGCCCAGAGTCACACAGCTAGTAAGTGTTATGTGTCTGAGGCTGGATTTGGTTCTCCTGACTCCAGGGCCAGTGCTCTATCCATTGCACCACGTAGCTGCCCCAAAACTCTTTTATTTAAAGAAGCTCTTTCGACTCTCTGTGAAGACTGAGGGAAATAAGCTTCCTAGATAGTCCAGTGAAAACAAAGTATTTCTGACTTTTCTTGGTACCTTCAAAGAATGAATGTGGTGGTGATTCACTGACTTTGTGTATCTGCAATCTACATAACTGACAAATAGTAAGCACTTAATAAATTCTTTTTTCCTTCTTTCCTTGTACATGTATGCACTGTGCATGTGTGTGGATGAATGCACATTTCTATGTATGCTTGTGTAAGTTAGGAAAGATATGACTTCAGAGTATATTAGAACCTCATGAGGCTAATAAATTAAAGTTAAAAAATGAGAATTTTGTGGCCATTGTTGATTTGTTCTAATATTTCCCTGCTTGGCCTTACACATCCTGCAGACATGCTAAGCTTTGGTAATGTCCCCTTGACATCTTACATCTAGGAAAGAGTAGGACAGACATACCCCAGAGAAACCCCTACTTGGGAAAGATGGATGGGAGGATGGGGGGGATTTGGAAAGTAAATACAGAGAGTCTAATGGGGGGAAATGACCTTATTGCAGATATGCTGAGCTCTCCCTGATAGCATTTATGTTATTTCATGCTGGAGGTGGATCTAGAGTATAGTACTGACTCTCTACCTATAAGTTCCTGAGTGACGTTGGGCAAGCCACTCTATGGGACTTAGTTTCTTCATCTATAAAAGGAGAACACTGGATATTCTCTAAGAATATGTTCAGCTCTGACATTCTTTGACTGATTTTACAACCACATTGGATGATTCCCACCCGAAAATTTCTGCTGGCAGAGACAGTACAGAAATGGAAGCCATGGAGCATAAATGATTGGTAGGAGAGCAGAGGAGTGGACTTCTAAGGGATGCATCAGTAAAAGCATGAAGTTGAAATCCAGGTGAAGATTATATGGATCAAGGGAGAAAGAGAAATAGGTAGACTGTATACAATTATTCAAATAAATGATGTCATAGTCTAGGGCATGAGAGAGATTCCCTCTGTAAGGTAGTGACATCAGTGACTGCAAGTAATCTGGGGATAGAGGTGGGGAACCTACCCTATGTGTCCTTTCCTAGAGAGGAGAAAGAGGTAGGAGAGTGAATCCTTGGAGAACAATTTTGGCCTGAGTTTGCTGGAATGGCCCCAGCTGGTTCTGGGGAAGGTGTTTTTTTCTCATACCATAATCTGATCTTACTCATTGCTTTTCCTGAGTTTTTGGAAGTGTCTTCTCTTGGGGATGCTGACATTTAGTTATCTAATTTCCTACCTCCAAATCACCCTAGTCCTTTGTCCCCAGAACTCTGGCTTCTCAAGAACACCCTAACTACTCGATCTCGGATCTCTTTGGTCTTAACACCATAGACAATGGGGTTGAGTGCTGGTGGGAAGAGCAGGTAAACATTTGCCAGGAGAATGTGGATGTGAAGTGGGACATGGTGTCCAAAGCGATGAGTAAAGAAGGAAAAGAGGGCAGGTGTATAGGAGATGAGGATGACACAGATGTGGGAGCCACAGGTTCCCAGGGCCTTAGCCCTGGCTTCACGGGATGAGAGACGGAGGACAGCTCGTGCAATGAGTGCATAAGAGAGGCCAATGCAGAGCAAGTCAACCCCGATGACAAGCAATGCTGCTGTCAAACCATACACACGGTTGGGCCTGGTGTTCCCACAAGCCAACTTCACCACAGCCATATGTTCACAATATGTGTGTGGAATCACATGGCTGTGGCAGAACTTCAGGCGCCCAATAAGAAAGGGGCAAGGAAACATCAGCAGTGAACCACGTAGCACAGCAGCCAAGCCAATCTGAGAAATGACTGTGTCAGTAAGGATGGTGGTATATCGCAGCGGGTCACAAATGGCAACATAACGGTCGAAAGCCATGGCTAGCAGCACTGTGGACTCCATCATGCAGAAGGCATGAATGAAGAACATCTGGGCCAGGCAGGCAGCAGCAGCAATATGCCCAGCCCCAAACCACAGGATGGCCAGAAGTTTAGGCAGTGTGGTGACTGATGCAGCCAGGTCGATGGTGGAGAGCATACAGAGGAAGAAGTACATAGGCTTATGCAGGGCAGGCTCAGTGGCAACCACAGCCCAGATGGTTATATTTCCCACAATAGTAGCCATACCCAGGCAGCACACAGGTATGGAGAGCCATAGATGGATTGATTCCAAGCCTGGAATGCCCAGGAGAAAGAAGACAAGGGGTTCCTGGATTGTGTGGTTTGAAGATATCATGGCCTATCCCCAGGATCCTGGGTTCCCAGCTATTATCAAATATTCATCAAATCACCTGCAAAAATAGGACAAAGACATGAGGGATTTAGGGAAAGAAATAAGGCATTAAGAAGTGCTAAAAGAGAGAAGGTTTCTTATCTATTCCCTTATTTACCTAAGTCTGTTGGAAATGTCCTTGAGTTCAAGCCTACATTTACCCTCAGGATCAGAGTCTATCTAGAGCCTGAAGGGATGGTCCAAGATAATCAGGGTCTCTGGTATTGTCTTAACAGGTCATTCATTCATTCATTCATTGAACAATTAAATGTCTAGAGACAACTGGGTAGTACCACAGGTGCCATGCATGTCATGCCCTGGACTTAGAGGCAGGAAGACTTAAGTTCAAATATTGCCTCACATACTTGCTAGCTGGGTGATCCTGGGCAAGTCACTCAATCTCTAGCTGCCTCAATTTCCTCACCTGTAAAATAGCAATAATAATAACAACTAACATTTATATGGCCCTACTTTATGTCAGGCACTGTTTTAATTACTTTTTTAAAAGTTTTTAATTTATTTTAAACTTAATACAGAATAAGAAAAGGAAAAAAAAAAACATTGCCATGTACATAGTAGAACATGAGAGGATTCAATTTAAAACAATAAATTTCCATTTCAAGAAAACCTACATAATAAATACTACATGTTGTTTTCAAAGCTGTCCAGCTTTTCTTTGCTTCCTTATACATTTTTCTTTTGTTCTCTGCTGTGTACTTTTTACTTTGCTTTTTTCCCTCCCCTTTCCCTCCCCCACCTCCACCCCAAGGAGGCCACAATTAAGTACAGATAAACATATATGCATATACATACATATGTATGCATACATGCACATGTATATTATACACATATACATAGATATCTATAAACATATAGATATATACACATATACACTCATATACATATATGTAAGACTGTATTCTGCTTGTTTTCACTTGTCATCTGTTTCTCTGAAGGTGGACAGAATCTTCCTTCATAAGTCCAAGTCTTTCCATACTTTTCTAAGTCAACCAGATCATCATTTCCTATACCACAGCAACATTCCAACCCAATAACATTTTATTTGAGAGATTGTCTATGAAAGATTTTTCCCAATTTTCTGCATTCCTTCTATTCTTGGCTGCATAGGTTTTATTTATGCAAGAAAATTTCAATTTAAAATAATCAAAACTATCCTTTTTATACTTCAACAATGCTCCCATCTTATAATATAGTTTAAGGTCTTATTATTTTTTCTAACTCACTAAGATAATTTTTAGTAATTTAATTGGAATGGCTTTACATAAATAGATTAGTAAGGTGAAATTATCACTTTTTTTTATTATATTGGCTTTTCCTACTCATGAAGAATAAATATTACTTCAATTATTTAGATCTAACTTTATTTGTATAAAAAGTTTTTTTTTAAATGTTTATGGTTGTATAGTTTCTGTGTCTGTTTTGGCAGGTATACTCTCTGATATTTTATACTTTCTAGTTATTTTAAATTGTCTAAAACAATACTGAATAAAAGGCTGACACAGTGTAGTTTCCCTATGTTCTCTTTTGATTAAATCTATTTTAGCTTTAATTTTATCTGAGATCATGATTACTACCTCTGCTTTTTTATATAATAAATTCTATTCCTGACCTTTATTTTACATTTGTGTGTATCTTTCATTTTTATAGCATTTTCTGAAAGCAACATATTGTTGACTTCAAATGTTTAATCTATTATCAGTTTTCATTTTATAGGTAAATTCATCCTATTCACATTCTAAGCTATGATTACTTGTATATTTTCCTCTTTTCTATTTTTCGTCAATGTCCTTCTCACTCTATTCCTGTCCCACCTTACTCCTTTGCTTTAATTCTCCTCACTACCTTGCCCTCTTATTCATTAACCTACCCACCCCTCCAAGAATCCCT